CTTTTTTTTTTTTTTTTTTTTTTTTTTTTTTTTGGTACTGGGGATCGAACTCGGGTCCTTGAGCTTGTGAGGCAGGTGGCAGCACCACTGAGCTAAATCCCCGGCCCCTATGAGCATTTTATAGTCACTTTTCTATTTAACAAAATGTATATTTATTAAAGATACAATCATACTTCAGCAAATGACTTTGAAAGTGACTATGGTTGACTCCCTTCTGAGTAAAACATTTGAAAATTAACAATAACAAAAGTTGAAGTTCCTACATCTAGGATGTGGATTTTAACACTGACTTCATTATTGTTTCTCAGTGTATTTGACAAAAAACAACGCAGAACTATTTTACAAACAAGTGCCTTACCTAACCCATAAAGTAAAGAAGTATGATCTTTTTAAAACATTGATCGCCCATAATTAATAAGCCAAAGGAAAGGGGCAAAGTGGCCAGATTGGAAAAAAACATCAAAGCTGTGTATCTACAAATGTTTCTGAGTCATTTTCTTAAAAAAACTTCTTTCATAAATGACCTCATTTGACATATAAGAATGCATAAGTCAGTGACTTAAAAAATTTAAGTGTAATTTTTCTGGCAGAAAAATACAAACCGTATTATACATTCTTTCAGGATGTATTACTACAGCTTAAATTTATGTATAAAGTACATTTGTTTTTTGACAAAATTAGTTTCAGTATTGAAATTAGTATGACACAAAACATAGTTCCTGTCCTGATAGATTAAAGAGGATTGCTTACCTGATGTAGATAAAATAATCATTCTTAGAAAAACCATTACTCTCCAACTAAATTTTTATCTGTTTAACTTTTGTGTTTTCTATAAAGGAAGAAGTGGTATTTAAAATATACTTTAATAATTAAAGATCACAATTGTCTCATAGCTTCTCTCACTTTTCTTAGATGGCCTCACAAACAGATGTGTATATTTCATAGAGATATAAATGCAGAGACTGTCCTATGGCTAAGTCAGGTCTTCTTATCTTGCCACTTTCCTTCCTGGGGTTAATCCTAAGCGATCATGAAACAAGAGAACTTAATGACCCTCTAAGTCACTCCTGTAACCACTGGGATGTGCAACCCACTTGGATCAACACTACAATTAGAACTAAAAGGAAATAGAGAAGGAATAGACTCGTCGGAAGGCTTACCTGAGTTTCTTGGGACAAATATATATATTCCCCCCCATAGGATCTTCCCTTTTCTCTGTTATTTTCACTCCTCTTTTGCCCAGAAAAATGGAAAATGCCATTGTTGTTGAGCTGATGAAGGAGAAAAACA